AGCTTTCGTGGGTAAGAACCTCACTTCTTCATCTGAAGAAGTGAGGTTCTTACCCACGAAAGCTTATGCTCCCAATACTTCTGTTATTCTCAAAGGTGCCACAGGACCCTCTGTCACATTCAGCCAGTGCGCCCCCAACTTCCAGGGGTGGGGAGAGAGGTGTACCCCATCCTCCTACACTCCCCAGAGCCAGCAGTCCACACCTCTGAGAGAAAACAGCCTTCTCCTGCTGCTAGCTAGTCCAGTAATTCAGGTGATAGAAGTCTGGACTGCAGAAGGCCCAAAGTTCAAAGCCCACTCATGATTCATCATGAGAGACTGTTCTAGTCATAGCTATATCATTTGCTTTTATTTTTTCCTCTCCAACTTTAAAACAAACACACACACACACACACACACACACACACTAAATAAAAAACTGCATTTAAAGAACATTTCGGTTACAGAGTAAAAGCGCCCCAAAAATTAGGAAATGCAAGATTTATTGCTGCCCAAGCAACCTTAGTTTGGTGTCCTTGTGCATATGCACTATGATACAGTCTTTAGTTCCATGATTACAGGCTAGTTTTTTTTCCACAGGACCCTGCCTCATTCAGTGAGGACAGATGCACAAGAGAATGAAATTAAGGTTATGTGGACAACTGTAACTCTGGTGTTTCCTAACTTTTGAGTGCTTGATGTAGTAACCTAAATAGCTTTGAACAGGTTTTGTCTGTTTGTCTTTGGTTTTTGCTTGTAAAATAAATATCTATATTTCAGTAGCACACAAAGGCGATCAGGATCGGGGCCTCATTGTGCTGCCCAAACAAAGAAAGACAATCTCGGCCCTGAAGGCTCACAACATAAAGGCACAACAAGAGAAGGGAAGGGAAGGGGAGGGGAGGGGGCAGAATTGAGGATGCGAGCAAGCAAAAGAACCCGGTGAACAAGTCATCCCATCAGATGGGTGGTATTTCGGGGGAGGATAAAGCTAGGGAGGAAGGGAGTACAGAAAGAAAGGGGAGAGGCATAGTCACAGCTTGTCACCTGCCTACCTTTGATCACCATCAGGGCAAGGGTTAGTCTGGAGCAACCTGAGAAGGTTTGGATAGAGGCTGCTTGGATTTTACCTGGGAGATTCCCCCCACCCTTCCAACCACATGGGACAATGGGAAACAGCCCGGAGGTGGGTAAGAGAGAAGCTGACTGATGGGCAGTGAAGCCTGGGAGCAGTGCCAGAAGGAAGGTGGGGATCCATGATGTGTTAAGTTATTGGATCAGCTAAGCAGGATGGGATTAAGTGATGAAGGGCCTTAAGAAAGGTGAAGGCAAGAAGCTTGTATAGCTATCCCTTGGGGGAGGGATAGCTCAGTGGTTTGAGCATTGGCCTGCTAAACCCAGGGTTGTGAGTTCAATCCTTGAGGGGGCCACTTGGGGATCTGGGGCAAAATCAGTACTTGGTCCTGCTAGTGAAGGCAGGGGGCTGGACTCGATGACCTTTCAAGGTCCCTTCCAGTTCTAGGAGATGGGATATCTCCATTATTATTATTAAATGGGCGGCAGCGGAGGGATGCAGAGGGGGCTGACAGAGTCCAAGCAACAAGCCAAGGTGGTGATTTCAGCACCAACAGCACATACAGACAGAAGGGGAGCAGGAGTGGAGCAGCCACAGAGGGACACACTGAGGCCTCGACAGGCATCTGGCTATGTGGGCAGAGAGGAAAGGCTGGCTTTCAGAGATGTCCTAGAAGGAAGTGCACATAGTAAGAGAACCAAAAAAGTGCCACCGTGGCCAAACAATGAAGAGCAGAGAGGCAAAAAGGCATCCTTTAAAAAGTAGAAGTTAAATCCTAGTGAGGAAAATAGAATGGAGCATAAACTCTGGCCAACGAAGTGTAAAAATATTATTAGGCCAAAAAAGAATTTGAAAAACAGCTTGCCAAAGACTCAAAAAGTAATAGCAAAAAAATAAATAAATAAAAAAAACCATTAAGTACATCAGAAACCTGCTAAACAATCAGTGGGGCCAATGGACGATCAAGTTGCTAAAAGAGCACTCGAGGACAATAAGGCCATTGTGGATAAACTAAACGAATTATTTGCATCGGTCTTTACGGCTGAGGATGTGAGGGTCTGGCTCTGGTCCGAGTACCCAAGCTTCTCGCAATACTTACCAGATAAGAAAGTATTCCTAACACAGGGGAATCTGGGGAGCCAATGGAATGGAATCAGACTGTCCGTACTAACGGAACTTTGGCACTTCAAGCCGGAGCTTTGCCTTGACCTCACGGCATGTTTTCCCAGGTGTGGATGCAGTTCACAGAAAGGCCTAATGTAAAACGGCACCCTCTATCCTCAGATATCTGCTCCCTGGGTGCAACAGAATCAAATCCGATCTGAGTGACAAAATAAAATTATTTATTGCTTTTTACTTCCTATTGCTCCACAGAGCATTGGGGGGTTGGGGGGGGGAGAAATCTATTCCTTCTTGTGCATCAACACAATTGTTTGTGGAGTTCCAGCGTCACACCTACGCAAGCTCCAGAAGGTTGCCCAGGAATCTCTGAGTGCAGAACTCAGCCTATGGAACCTTTATTGCAGCTAATGCACAAAGCAATCAGTACCCACTTTGACTCCCGGATGCCAGGTTGAATTTGCAGGGCTGGCAGTTAGAAGAGCCTGCTTTGAATTTGTAGATTGAATGCATTTAGCACGGAGCTTGATGGACAAAGATGGGAATCACTGGATGACACACTTACTAAGACACGGTGTGACACAGGTGGAATATTGGTCCCACCAGGGCAAGTTAATGGGCAGGGGGACATGGTACAGAAGCACCCACTCCCTACGTATACAGATAGAGACCCAACCACTTGGGAAGAGGGCGACTTTTGATATGGTCTCCCACAGCATTCTTGCCAGCAAGTTAAAGGATGAATGGACTACAAGGTGGACAGAAAGCTATCGGGCTCAACAGGTAGTGATCAACAGCTCGACGTCTAGTTGGCAGCTGGTATCAAGCAGAGTGCCCATGGGTCTGTCCTGGGGCCGGTTTTGTTCAACATCTTTATTAATGATCTGGATGATGGGATGAATTGCACCCTCAGCAAGTTCACAGATGAGCAAAAAAAAAATTTAAATACATCAAAAGCAGAAAGCCTGCTAAACAACCAGTGGGGCCACTGGACGATCGAGATGCTAAAGGAGCACTCAAAGAGGATAATGCCATTGTGGAGAAACTAAATGAATTCTTTGCATCAGTCTTCACTGTTGAGGGTGTGAGGGAGATTCCCAAACCTGAGCCATTCTTTTTGGGTGACAGATCTGAGGAACTGTCCCAAATGGAGGTGTCATTAGAGGAAGTTTTGGAACAAATTGATAAACTAAACAGTAATAAGTCTCCAGGACCTGATGGTATTCATCCAAGAGTTCTGAAGGAACTCAAATGTGAAATTGCAGGACTACTAACTGTCATCTGTAACCTATCACTTAAATCAGCTTCTGTACCAAATGACGGAAGGATAGCTAATGTGACGCCAATTTTTTAAAAAGGCTCCAGAGGTGACCCCAGCAATTACAGGCCAGTAAACCTCACTTCAGTACCAGGCAAATTGGTTGAAACTATAGTAAAGAACAAAAAACTGTCAGACTCATAGATTAACATAATTTGTTGGGAAATAGTCAACATGGTTTTTGTAAAGGGAAATCATGTCTCATCAATCTACTAGAATTCTTTGAGGGAGTCAACAAGCATTTGGA